ATATCTGAACAATCAGATGTATGGAAGTTATATGTTGTAGTCATCCGATCCTTGTTATTTTCACTGTAAGTATTCTGTTAATAATGAGTGAAAATGGTGCGAAATTTCATGTTCCTAGCTGCATAAATGGAGAGTTATGATAAAAGACCTCATATCTGAACAATCAGTTGTATGGGGGCTGCAGGTTATAGTGACCCGATCTTTGTTATTTTCACTGTAAGTCTTCTGTTAAAAATAAGTGAAAACAGCGCGAAATTTCATGGTCATAGCTACATAAATGGATGAATTATAACGACAAATCTCATATCTGAACAATCAGTTGTATGGGAGCTATAGGTTATAGTTACCCGATCTTTTTAATTTTCACTGTAAGTTTTCTGTTGATAATTATTGAAAATAGTGCGGAATTTCATGTTCCTACCTATATAAATGGAGGAGTTATAACGAAAAATTTTATATCTGAACAATCAGTTGTATGGGAGCTATAGGTTATAGTGACCCGATCTTTGTAATTTTCACTCTAAGTATTCTGTTGATGATGGGTGCAAGTATTGCGAAATTTCATGTTCGTAGCTGCATAAATGGAGAAGTTATAACGAAAAATCTCATATCTGAACAATCAGTTGTATGGGAGCTATATGTTATAGTGGTCCGATTCTTCCGGTTCCGACAAATGATTAATACATTATAAAAATACACCCACCTACCAAATTTGATCCGGATATCTCGAAAACTGAGAGACTAGATTGCATACAAACAGACGGACAGACGGACATGGCTAGATCAACTCAGCTCGACGTTCTGATCATATAAGTATACATTTTCATGGGTCTATCTCTTTTTGTTCTGGTACTTACAAACATCGGACCAAAGTTATAATACCATTTCATGCTCATGAAAGGTATAAAAATGCCCTCGCGTATTATACATACATAATTTTTAAGTAGGTGGCAACCCCACTCAATCAAAAAAATAAAAAGTTATTGCACTGCAAAAACCATATCCTTTCACTTAGTACCTCAGTTTTTAGTCCAAAAACGATGAAGATCTTATAATTTTTGAAAAGAGGCAACCTTACTCAAAAAGTAATATATTATCGAACGTCTAAAAGCTGAGGCCTTTTATTTGACACCTCATTTCTTGTTATCCAACGAACAGTGAGGATCTAATAATTTTTTTTAGACAGGTGACAACCCTATGAGAATTAAAAGTACTAAAGATATAATTTCTATCGATACAGATTACACTTAAAAAGTCTCGTATAAATCCGTTCAGTAGTTTTTGAGATTAGCGTGGTCAAAATATCTCGACTCTCCTTTATTCTATATATAATAATAATAATAGATTGGCGCTTACACATATGTTAGTGCTCGGCCGAGCTTCTCCTCCGATTTGTGGCGTGCGCCGACTCCGAACGGCGATTGTATTTTTATGAGAAGCTGTTTTTCATGGCAGAAATACACTCGGAGGTTTGCCATTGCCCGCCGAAGGACGGCCGCTGTTAAGAAAAAACCTTTTTTCTATATTTTTTGCGATGTTTCTTTGACCAGGGTTTGAACCCAGGCGTTGCGGAGTGGAAGCGCGCACTGCTTACCACTACACCACAGCGGCCGAAAGTAGATAGTAATTTTTAAATAGGTGGCAACGCCATTAAAAAAATTAAAGCATTTGTACATGCGAAGGCCAGGCCCTTTTATTTAGTATCTCATTTTGTAATCCAACGAACGGCAAAAATCTTTAAACTTTTTAATAAGTGGCAAACCTACTCAGAAAAATAATACATTATTGCACATGTAGAGGCTTAGTCTTTTCGTTTGACAGTGACGGTGCAGAACTGATGCCTACGCTTGTTATGATTGAATATAGTAATTTAGTTAACAGGTGGCAACTTTATTTAAAAAAAAAAACATTAATGCTTTTCTAGAGGCCAATCCCTTTCATTTGACACCTCATCTTTTTTAATCCAACGATCGATGCGGATCTTATAGTTTTTTAGATAGGTTGCAACCCTTTAAAATTCTAAGTAAAAAAGGTCACTCTCCTGTCGATACAGAGTATATTAGAGAAAATCTCGTCAAAATCCGTTCAGTAGTTTTCGAGATTACCCCGTACAAAGAATATCGACTTTCTTTTATACTATGTATAGATTATATATTTATACTGGAATTTTTTCTAACATTTTTCCTTGAATCTAGAGCATGAATTATGTTACCCTGATTTATTTAACAAAAGAAAAAATCGTGAAAAGGGTTAAACGAGAGCCTCAATGCCTTTAAAATTCTAAGTAAAAAAGGTCACTCTCCTGTCGATACAGAGTATATTAGAGAAAATCTCGTCAAAATCCGTTCAGTAGTTTTCGAGATTACCGCGTACAAAGAATATCGACTTTCTTTTATACTATGTATAGATTATATATTTATACTGGAATTTTTTCTAACATTTTTCCTTGAATCTAGAGCATGAATTATGTTACCCTGATTTATTTAACAAAAGAAAAAATCGTGAAAAGGGTTAAACGCGAGCCTCAATGCAATTAATCGTCAATACATACTCGAAAGTTATCGCAAAGTCAGATTCTAAATTCTCTGACAGTTCCTTTTTTCCTCTTATTCAATGCTACCGCAACTTTGGTCCTGTCAAATCATATATTTTTACAATTTTACTTTACTAAAGCACGTTTTTTTATCGGAAAATTTAATATCCTATTCGGCTTTGTTTGCTTTTACTTGAGAAATGCCATTGCCGACAGGACGGCGCAATCTTGTATTCCATCATTCTTGACTTTTCAAGAGTAAATATATAAAGACAGATTAGTTTTAATGGACTGATGGCAGTGATCGGACTTAAAAAAAATTCTGTGTGGTAGAATCTGGAAAAAAATGTGGTAGATTTCAAAAAAATGTGGTAGATGTCAAGTTTTGGATCAAACTTTGTACAAAAATTTAAGAAATTCTGTAAGGTTTCGCCTAAATTGCAAACTTTTTAATTAGACTCTAAAAAAAATTAATTTTAGTATAACAAAGTGCAAGATTGAAGTTGCTAAAAATTGCGTTGAGTTTTGACAATTTTTTTCCTGGACAGTGTAAAGCGGTTCCTTCCATATCAAGATATTTTTCGAACATAAATTTTTTTGCAACCTTGCGGAGTGCTGCCAGCTTTTCTCTTTATCACATCACGATGTAGCGAACAAATGTGGCACGCTACTTGGGATTTGCCGATTTTGACAATTCTCAAGTAAATGTAAACAACGCCTCAGAAACTTTAGATGCACTGAAATTTCCTAATACTTTCACAAAAATTTCCGTTTTTCTTAATTTTCGCTATTAATTCTTTTTATAAATCAAATATTTTAAAATTTAATTAATTTAATTTCCTGTCGAAAAATTTATTGAGAAAATTTACTATTTTACAGTTAATTTCATCGTTGCCGGGAATGCGGAATCTTGTATTATATCATTCTGGTTACCATATAATGGTTAGTGTTGGACAATTTTTGCTCTTAAAATTAAGAAAATTCTGTCGATCAAAAATAAAACTAGGTACTCAAAATCGCGAATATGTGGTAGATTTCAGACCTTGTGTGGTAGATGTGGTAGATGCTCAACTGACTGATGGACAAGTAAGAAAGCTAAATTAATTTGAAGTGCAATAAATTTGTGGTTTGAGAACAAACTTGACCACGTTAAAAGTTTATTGGACTTCAAAATTGCATACTCAAAAAAGTTCTAAAAAAGCTGATTAAAAAATTGGAAATTTGCATGTAAATTTATTGAATTTTCCTGAGTTTTTACCAGTTTACAAATTACATTTTTATCTTTTTTTGTTATAGTATGAACTATATTTTTATAAAAATAGCAAAAAGAATTCAAATAAAAAAAATTGTATATCGACATTGTGAAAAATTCTTTGTGTGAAAATATATTTTTTAATCCAGTGAAATTAATTTATGTTTAAACTTTTTCTTTCTGTATTGAAAAATAATAAATTATAAAAAAGCATTTCTCTTTTATTACTGCAACAAAAAAATCTTCTTGGTACTCTCAAAACCGTTTTGGTACGTTTTTAGTAAGTGAAAAAATATGTGAGTGGCAACACTGTTCGCAACCGGCTAAAAGCCTGATTATGGCAACTTAACTTAACGGAACTTAGACTTTAGAGAATCAAAATGAAACAGATTTCGACGTGGCATTAAGTTACGTTAAGTTTCGGCTGTTCAATTATAAAAGCTCAGTTAGTCTAGACTTAATTTTCGTAACTTAACTTAACGTAATATTTTGGCCAACCTTTTATATGAGGAACTGTGGTGGCGGTTAGTTAAAACTTAACTCACCGTAAGAAACCTGTAGATTTAAGGTTCTTGAGTTATGGCCTTACGCAAATTGAGAGCGGTGAGAGAATCAGGCTTGCCAGACTCTCGTTTTTGTATTTCTTAAAAATAAATGAAAGCAAACATTTTTGTTTGCATGATTTTTTTGATGTGGCATTTTTGGCGGCGAACTGTTAAATAGCTGAAAGAGAAAATACAAAAACAAAATATTTCCGCTCTTGGCTTAAGTTGATGTGTTGAGTAATCATTGATGATTTCTTACGGTAAGTTAAGTTAAGTTAAGTCTAGACTAACTTAGCTTTAAGCAACACCCATTTAACAGAATTTTTAAGAGAGAGCCGTAAGTTACGTTAAAATGCCATAATCAGACCATAAATCTAACCGAAAAACGGCTAAAATGGCAACACTGGTTCACTTTTGCATTGTCAGCATTCAGTTGGTCGCAAATTTTCAGAGGGAGGTGTTGTTCTTGCGCAGATAATTTTTCGTTAGAAATTTCCTTGGAAAAAAGAACAATCATGCATAAAATAACTTTTTATATGACGGATTGCCACAGTATACCAGTAGAAAAGCTTTTTGTTTTTGTAGCTGTTTCGTGGTAAAAGTCCTTTATGGGGACCAAATTTCCCCACAAGAAATTGAGCGCATGGTTGCTTTTGCATGCCAAAAGGACGAATATTAGAAAACATTGAAAAAAGTCTGAGGTAATAGATTTAATAATGTGATAGTCATATTTGGAAACTCTTTTCAACTTTTATTTTTACAAAATAATATTGCGGATCAGATTGCTCTGAGCGCTTGTGTTGTTTACCAAGAAAATGCAGCCCTGTTGGTTTTTATTTCGCATCGCGGTGAGTTTCTATTCCTTGGTAATTCAATTTGTGAAATGATAAAAATTATTAAAATTTATTGATTTGATGTGTTTAACATTTGATTAAAGCAATTTTCTTTCTTTTCAGACCATAAATTACAAGCATAGCATCATCAACGGTGATTGCAAGGAAAACTACTGCAATCCCTGCGGTTTTTCCTCTTGGTAAATACGATCTGGACGTGACCAAGTGTGGTCTTCCAAATCAGCCGGAATCCCCACACATCTATTGTATAATGTGAGCATTAGAATTCCATAGTGCCAATTCATATCCTATTCTCTCATTCACAGACAAAACGCACTCCTTCGAAATCTCTCGCTTCTGCTGTAGCAATAAGTGTGGCTGCAATATATTGGCCATTAGCTCCAGCGACATGTAGAGCATGTTAAACATTTTTACTTGTATTTGTAGGAGCATCTGACAAAATACAAAACATGACGAGAGACTTGAAATTGAAGATGATCAAGAGTACACAACGTTGGAAACTAAGAACATGAAGCTAAAGCATCGATTAACAATTCTGAATAAGGTTAGTAATTTTCAATTTTATATTTTTCTTTGTTCATCGACATTATAGGACATGTCATCATTGCAGGCTATTGTTACAGAACAAAACGCCGCAACCTCTTCTGTTTTTGGTAAATATGTACCAGCGGTACTGCCCACCGCCGTCGGTGCAATGATTTCGATAGCACAACAAATGCCATTTCCTGGGCATTCCCCACAACTTGCCGACACCAGCTATTATATCACGTGTGAATGCAACTGCGGCTAAATAAGTCGCCCAGAGATATAGCCAACGAAATAAATAAACATGGTGTTCAATCGCTACTTGTGGCTTAAACTGAGGTTGCAAGTTCTCGCTTCATTAATGTGTTTCTCTAAAAGTATACAGTTTATAGTTATGTTAGTGCAAATATTTACCAAGGAATGAAACCGATTCAAAATAACGTTCCGGTTTGGGTTTCGGTTTTGCCAAGTGTTTCGGTTTCGGTTTTGGTTTCGTTCTTCAAAATTTATTTCGGTTTTGGTTTCGGTTTCGGTCCGGTTTCGGTTTTTCACAGAAATTTTGTTGATATTATTTAAATCACAATGTCTTAAACGTTGAGGAAAGAAAATCGAAAATTACAGTTCACTGATAATATCAACACTAGGTTCTTTCCCTAACAATCCGGACCGGATTTGGTAATTAGAGAATAAGAGAAACATTTTCTTTCAAAAATGGAACAAAGTTCAGAAGTACGGAAACGCAAAAACCCACATTTCGGTCCCACAAGTCGAGAAACAGCTGATTCACGTTGTTCTTGTTTTTGTCACTTATACCATATTCTGACCGACATCGGAAACATGTTTTCGTTGCTAAAACTGGTTTTCGACCTGAAACTTGTGTTTTCGTCCATATAAAATCTGTTAAACGAAACCCAGTTTTCGCTGAAACCTACTTGAAAACTCACTTTCCACTCATTCCAATCGGTGTCTTCACTAGTTTTTTTCGATTATTTATCGAAGTGGACGTCATATTTTATCATCTTTAATACGCCATTTCGGATTTATTGTTAATTGTCTGGCCAAAGCAAAATAAGAATGAAAGTTAAAGGTTGTAAATGAAAAGAAAATGAAGGAAAAATGTTTTGGTTGTCGGTCAGAACATGGTATTAAATGCAAACACTTGGAAATTGAATTTTGGTTTCACAAATTTGATTTTAAGTACATAGATTGAAAATACATCAACAGGCCATTTTCCTTAACTTTTCCTTAAAAGCACCAACTAAATGCAGGCAACATGTAAACACAATACAGCTGATATGCACTTTGACACTTTATCCATTTTTACTCGGAGAAAAATTCCGGGCTGTTTCGGACAGGAAGAAGAATACACTTACGATCGAATACGCTCGAATTTTCGCTCTCTATTACCCATTTTGTTGAGTACAGGAATGATTTCTGGGCTATTTTGGGCACACGCGGGATCTCGCATTGCGTACGGGAAAGAAACTACTTAAATATAATTAATCGATTATCGATTCACAACAACAAAGTCATCAGCAGATGTTTGCGAAAAGTTACCTTGCCATATTTATTTACTACTTAACAAGAATTTTAGCAAAATGTTGCTGATTTTGGTTAAATAAATCATTTATTTCAAAGAAATTTTTATTTATTATTTTTGTAAATTTCTGGAAACCGATTGAAACCTGTGATTGAAATGGTTTCGGTATCGTTCCTTTTCAGGTCAAGATAACGGTTACGGTTTCGGTTTCGGTTTTGAAAAACGAAACGGTTTTAAACGGTTACGGTTTCGGTTTGGGTTTCGGTTTCATTCCTTGATATTTACAAAAATTTTTATATCAAATGTAGGGATTATGCTGTTCGTGTGATTTTCATCCTCTTACGCTCAGGCGTTAACCTGCCAACTTGCCGCAAGCAACGTATCTCATATAGATGCACGTTGGTCATTTACGTTCGACTTTTATTGGAGAGTCCATTTATCGTTTGTTGGAGTTTCTGGGGCACGATGATCGCACTAATCATCAAGGCTATCACAGAATCCATCATAGTCCGATTTTTCGTGACATCTACGAAAATGCTATTGAAGTCAAGTAGCTACGAGCGCAGCGTATGCTTTGAATAGACACGTTCGTAGCAGTTCAGATTCAGTGATCGCTTTTTCGTAGATTTTATAGGAAATCGGACTACGATGGATTCCGTGATAGCCACCAATACGTATTCTACTTTGAGAAGATGTTGAAGAATCGCGGCAGCCCAGCCGTATACCTACTCTATGCTTTTACGAACATAGGCTAAATTTCTCGCACCTAGCTAAAGTGTTTGACAAAGGCAGAATGCAGAAGGCATATCTTCGCCATTATAATTTAAACTAAAAAAGTTTAAGGCATGCAATAAAAGAATACAACAAAACCAAAAAGTGTTCTCAAAACTATTAAACATAAAAAATTGCACGAATAAAATCCATAATTTAAATAAAATAAGATATCGCAAATGTTTTTATATGTCCATATTTTTAAAATGAATCTTAAAGCACTCACCGTAAGTCCTAAACCTAAAAATGACTAATAAAAAAAAATAATAAATAATATAAATGTGAACAAGTATGTCGAGTAATCTCTAAATAGGAGCGAAACTGTATCTCAATAATACCAAGTAATTTTAAGCAAAAAATACAACCGACTTCAATGCGCATTCCGGTCGTTCTGGTTACGTAGACCCGACTGTCCTCCATTTTTTTAAAATCGGTTAAAAAAATGAATACGTATTCTACAGAAAAAATCAAGATACATATTCAGCCTTATCATGAGTTTCATTTTCCCCCAACCGGTTCACTTTTCACTCTTGGTTTCCAAGGTTTTACTATGGGCAGATGACCAATTTTCGGTTGAATTTTTTTCAAGCGAAACACAGGATTAAGCAGATTTAAAGATTTTAAGTAAAAATAAATAAAGTAAAACTAGTTCGCGATATCTTGAGATACCGGTGAGAGGCAGCCTGAACATTTTTGAAGTTTGTTAACATAATAAAAATGTTTTCAAATTTTAAATCTCACAAATATATTCTCATTTTCAGTCTCAAATAAAAGAAAATTTCAATATTTTCATCTATTTGTTTTTTATTTTACTTTTATTTGGCATTTGAGTTGCTCTCAAAATTTGAATTTTATAAAGTAGACAAACTTCAAAAAATAAATGATGGCCGACGAATTGAGCGAGCGGTTTTACCTTAACCCATTTTTAACATCTGTACGATTTTTCGTACAGCAACTTTAAATATTTATAACAAATTATGAAATTAACTCAGGTACAATTTATATTCTTAAAACATAAATATGATCTATTATTTGTCAAAAATAGTTGAAATGTATACAATTTCTCTTTCCTAAATGTTGTATTTTAGCAATTTCCGAAACTCTTTTTTTTTAGATATTTTCAAAACAATTGTTATTAAATAATATTAAACGCCTTTTTTTAAATTTTAGCACACCAATAGCAGAAAAAAATAAAACATATTTATATTATGATCTTCTCTTGTGGTACTTCTTACCCACGAAAAGCTTCGCAGGTTATAAAATGTGTGTACGTAAAATCGTACGTTGGCCTATTTTTAAGCAACTTGAAAGAAAAATCTTGGAAGTGTAATGTCCATGTAACGAAAACAAACTTTTGACAATCAGCTGTTGTTGTTTACTTTAGTTTGAATTATTACGCGTTAGTGCTTGCGATTCGTTGTAATTTCGTGAAAATATTTCTGAAGCGATACAAATAAGTGAAAATATTGATAAATACGGTGTAAATATGTAACGACGTCGTTACATAAAAACAGCAGAGCTTGAAAGTATCACTGAAAACTGGAGTGATGATGAGGACGGGTCGGTTCGAAATATAGTGACGAGGAAGAGTTTGACGAAGAAATGATGCTTAATATGGATCCAACACACATTCCAGAAGTTGCGGGTTGTGTAGAAATTGAATGCGATTCAAAAGATTATGATTTGGCAGCTCCTGCACCAAGTATTAAGGAAGGTACATACACAAGTTTGAATGAGTTTGTTAAACCAAAGTGGTGTAAAAGAAAAGGGGGATCGTCTGAAATTGTAAAATATGATAGGCAGCCGAATCATGAACCACTTGAAAGTGTCGCTATCCCATGGTATCGAAATTGGAAACTTTAACTCCGACAAAGTTATTCTACTAATTCTTCGAGGATGATGTTATGCTTCTTTTAGATACTGAAACTAATAGGTACACGAATCAAACAAAAATATGGAATGTATGCATAGTTATGAATATAAAGTTGTAAAGATTTCCCAGGTACTACAATCAACAAAATAACGCGGGTGTCGTTTGTTGTGAAAACAGTTTAAAGCGTTTCCTGGGAATTCTATTAATGTCAGGTTATAGTACTCTTCCAGCCATCAACGATTACTAGATCATTAAGCCTACACTAGGCCGCCAAATAGTAAAACAAGTAATGTCTCGTAACAAATTCAAACTTCTAAAAAATACTTTCATTTGGCAAATAACGACACTTTGGATACTGAAGACAAATTTGCCCACTACGCCCATATTTTAACTTGCTCAACAGAAACTTTGGCAAGTTTGGAGTTTTTAATGAACATATGTCAATAGACGAGCAAATAGTACCATACTATGGCAAACATTCTTGCAAAATGTATATACGTGGCAAACCTATAAGGTATGGTTACAAATTGTGGTGCCTTTGTTCGTCGGAAGGATATCTGTACCAATTCTAACCTTACGGTGGTGCAGGTGGATTTAATAAACAAATTGGTTTGGGTTCTGACGTCGTTTTGAAATTACTGTCTATAGTTAAAGATGCGAGTCGCCATGATGTGTATTTTAACAATTTTGTTTTCTCCTACTATTTAATGTGTCCTTTGTCCGAGAAAAACTTTTTCGCAACAGGTACGATTCGTATACACCGTATGAATGGCGCAAAATTGCCTACCGGTAAAATGTTGCCAAAAGGTTATGTTTTTGATAAGAAAAATAAAATTTTGTTAACGCGTTGGAGTGACAACAAGGAAGTCACCATCATTACAAACCACCAAAGTATAGAGCCAATGGCACGTATAGCTCGATACAGTAGAGAGAAAAAGAAGAGAGTGGCAGTAGAAGTTGCGAAAGTTATATCAGAGTATAATCATTTCATGGGGGGAGTCGACCTTCATGATAATGCAGTTGCAAACTTTCGAATTGCTATACGCGGAAAAAAATGTTGGTTGGCTTTATTTATAGTCGGGCTAGATAGTACTGTAGTGAACGCATGGAAGTTGCATTGTTTTATTGAAAAGAAACAAAAAAAAAACAACAAACCATTGTCACAAATACAGTTTAGGGTAATGATTTGCGAATAACTATTATTAACATCGGATACCAACTCAGAAGA